TCGCTTTTCTCTGTATAGTTGGCTTGAGAATATTTTTTATTTTACATGATACAGTATGAGGTGAAAAAACTCAATTTGAGTGGCCAAAGAGCTGTGCAAACTCCAGCTGCACCCTGGGCCCACGTCAGACTAACCGCAAGGGGTGATTCACCAGTGCTGTCTGTCTTCAGGTCACAGTGCTTACTGCCTCCCTTCCCAAGTCTGCGGAATGCTGTCCACTTTTATTGTGTAAGATGATCATTCCCACAAGTTGCACCTTTTCACCAAACTGGGATTTTGTGAACCATTTAACCTCTCTGGTCTCATGAAGATGCAAATAAAACCCTCTCATCTACTTAATTTATATTCAAAAACTAAAATGGGAAGTATATGCTCTAAACGGAAAAGTGCTATAAAAAATTAAGTTTTGTCATTAGAACACATATTACAATTAATTTGAAAATCCACCAAGCAACCAAAGGACTCGGATTTGACCAGTTATGCATGTTGAACTTTAATGAAGTCACCTACTCTTTGAAACTCCAGTGAACAGGACCAAGTTTGTGTGTATGTGTTGCTGTGATGTGTTTTGATTCAGCTCAGAATACCTCCTTATTACACTAAGGCCTTTTGTTACTGGTGTCTGCTTTCAGAAGTCCTTCAATTAGAAAATATAAAAATATGATGCAAGAGACATACATCTGAGGCAAAAGGAAAACCTGGAAACAAGTTTCCTGCCAAGGTTAGCACTGGAACCTTTCTTCTCCTCACACCTCAGAATGACCAGTTGCAGGAGTGCCTTGCTTCAGGGGCTGATGGATGCTGATAGCTACAGACTGCCATTTTTGAGGACTCCTCCTTTGTGTGATTAATTCATAAGTAGGATTTAGCTTAGAAACCAACTGCTGTCTGCTCTTTTGGAATAATTGAAGGCATAAATAATCTAATACCAAATTTTCCCCACAAAATACAATGCCTTCAAATTTGTAGAAGAGTAGAGCCCAGCTTGAAGTGGTTTGTCAAGTAATTCTCAGTCTAAAGTCACTGGAGGGTGTGGTAATTCATTAGTCCCTGGTGCCGTTTTTATTTCTTTGGAATAACAAAGCTCAGATCCTTTCCAGGCATGGTCTCTCTTGCCTTTTTTTCTTCTTGTCTTCTGGCATTTTTAACCATGGAAAAGTCACAGTTGTTTTGAGGAAAGCACTCCCAAGAGCTTTAATTAAAGTTAGAAAAATAAATCTGTTTACAATGTGGTGGACACTATCATTAATAAAACATTGAAATAATTAATGAATTAAATTCTGCTTTGTGTGAATGGCTATATTTAGGATCTATGAGAACATATCTTCTGAACAGACAGGTTTGTTATACACTTAGTTTGCAGAAATGAAGGGAAAAATGAGATTTCATTTCTCTGAGATTCATCTTATATAATAAAGATATAGTATGCAAATAGTCTTTATGCTGTGAAGCATAACCACTGGATCACGGATAGTGGGGCAGCAAGGTACAAGCGGGCAGTGGAGAGCTACAGGAGGGGGCAGGGCAGCAAGCTATGAGGGGAGGGCATTAAGGGGGTTGGGAGGATTACTGGAAGGCTACAGTGAGCTACTGGCAAGCAGGGCTGCTAGTAGTATCATAAACTGCTAGAGCTTGAATAGAGAAGGTCACATGCATTACCTCAATTTTATAGGAAAAAGAACTCAGTTTCAGTAAGGTTAATGGCTTGGGCTCTAATGATGTACTTGGAAATTAAGGTGTTTTTTTTTGTTTTGTTTTGTTTTAAATTGTACCAGTGATACCCTGAGTCTATCTACACTTTGAATTTTTGATTGTCTAGCCAGAAACAAAAGCAAGAGGAGACTAAATTAATAATAAGATAATCAGCTCTAGGACACAGAAAAGAATGAAATGCTTCTAAAAAAAAAAAAGGAAAATTTCACATTGTGATTTAACTCTGCCATTGACCATAAAGAGGTTTAGTTGCTCAGGATATGAAGTGGCCTTTTAAGCAGGATATGGCCATGTGCAGACTTCTGAGTTGAGACTTCCCTTCGTGCTCCTTCTCACTAAGCTGCCTCTTGTTTTTAAGCTTTCTGGCAGACAACAGATCTCACAGGAAGCACCATTGTGAACGTTCATGTGGATGGTTAATGGTGCATTGTTGTTTTTTATGTCAGTACTTTTCCAGAGAAAACAATGGTAACCGAAGAGTGTTCCTATCTTGAAGGAAAGTCAGTTTGCAATATTGTTTTATTAATTTAACACATGCAAGTGTTTGTCCTTATTGCTACAGCAACATGTTTGTAGGGTATATTTGATGCAAAACGTGGAAAAGCTGAAAAAGAAAACAAATACCATCCACATATTGATGTGATGGGGTAAGTGACGCTTGCCTCTCAGTCCAATTATGCTGTATTTGGGTAATTTGTAAAGCATTTAGCTAATAAAAACAAGGAACTAACCACTTCCAGGTAGTTTCTGAAAAGCTGGAAACAGATGAAATTACACGTAATTAGGTGTTGGGTGGATGTTAGGCACTCCCACCATGTATACAGACACAACTAACATGTAAATGAGCCCACTAAGCTCCCCAAGAAGAAAAAGCTCATTTTACCTCAAGGTGAGCAGACTCTAAGCTTCTCTGACATTCATCTTCTAGAGAGGGCTGGGGAGCAAAGGGCCCTGCATGCCAGGCTGACAAGCAGTTAGCACCCAGGTCATCTCTGTGTGAGCCTTCTCAGTGGGAGAAAAGTCTAACAGGGGATGAGTGGTTGAATTTCCAGGGGTGGTAATGAATGATAAAGATGCAGCACACTGTGTAAAGAAGCAGGTGCTGGGGTCCCAAACTCAGTCACTAACTGTGACCTAGGGCATTTACTAATTTCTCTGAATCTCAGTGTTTTAAAATGAGGATAATTGTACCTCTTCCACAGGATTGCTCGGAGAATTAGAATTAAAATATGTCAGTGATTCAGTGAGGTCAGGCCGCTTAGTAAGTACTCAATAAATGGTAACAATTTTATGAATGGCACAATTGTCAACTATTTATAGCTCTCTTCCTGTTAGCACATGTTGAATTGCTGCCTCTCAGACGTTTAGTATAGCTGTGGGATTTGCTTTGGCAAAAAAAAAAAAAAAAAAAAAAAAAAATGTGGGGTGGAAGTGCTTGTTTTGAGGGAATTAAAGAGCCAGTATGCTCTGCCACACTCTCCTTCTCCCTCTACCTTGGTGACAGACAACATTTCAGATGATGGCTGCTCTCCCTCCGTGTGGGCCCTGGTTGGGAAAATGCGGAGCAGCCCCTCAGTGAATCAGAGATGGAAAATAACACAAGAAAGAAATAAACCTTCTTGTTTTGGTTACTTTGCTTCTCCTGACCATGCTTTGATAGAGTTGGAACATTTGAGATATTTTTTTTTTTTCTAGGGCAATCTCAAATTGTGTCTAGCTCCTGAGAATGATGCAAATCCTGTCCTGTTGAAAATTACTTTACAGGACCTAGTTTGTTTCCATGTTTCTACTGACTTGCCTTACACAGAAGAATCGCTGCAGTTGCAATTTCAGACCTCTTGCAAGACCACTTCCCCTAAATTATTGAGCGCTTTCCACATTACCAAGAATGGGACTACATTACCATGCAAACACGCTTAGCACTGCAAAATGTAACTTTCCTGTAGATCTGTCAATCACACACAGTTGCTTGTTGGTTTGGGATGTGGAAAAACAAGTTACCAAGAGCATTTTTCATATAGGCAAATTCATTTCATTTCTGACTTAATATAGAACTGGATTCAGAAGTCTCAAGGTAAAAGTCCAATCTTTTTTCACTCTCTAGATATTTCTCAGCATTAGTTCAATTTCCTGTAAGAGGTTAGCATGAATTCTTCTCCTGTAATAGGCTATTTCACATTAAGTGTATGTTAAACTAATATAAACCTTTCCAAAATAAAATCAAATCTGGTGTTTTGTTCTCAAAAGACTGAAGCAGCATTAGATGTTGAAAATAGAAGGTTAATCACCTTTTTTTTTTTTTTTTTTTTTTTTTTTTTTTTTTTTTTTTTACTTAGAAACTATTTCTCTGGGAATTAGTCATTTGATATCTAACAATGAATGCAAGGTTCTGCCTATTGTCCTCAAAAGGAAGCCTGGATCCTTCAGCAAATCACTTTGTATAATTTGCCACAGGTTAGCCTACTGAGGCAGATATGTATGTTTCATTTTACAGTGGATGAAAAAGTCAAGAATATGAGCATCGGGCTTTATCTGGGAGTACCCAGATATCAAGGTTGGGCAAGTTGAGGACTGGATATGGAGTTAGGATCAAGACTAGAGATGAGTGAGGGTGAGGATACTGCTGTGGGGAAGAGGATCTGTGGGGAATATAAGGGTTGTGGGAGAGAAGGGCATGCCCGAGCAAAGCGAGGAAAGCAGAAACAATTTCACTAATGAGAACATGAATATAAGCATTTCATACATAGATGTGTAAACATAAACCACAGAGACCAGCGCCCTCAAATAAACCACCTGTGCAATATTACCTTGCATGGAAAAGTGAACCTCAATCTGCTTCTTCCCTTTATCTTCTTGAACAAATAAATTAAAAACCCTATACTTGGAAACAAGTATTTCACTCAAGTCTACAAGTAGGTTTATTACATTTCATCCAGGAAATAAACATCTGTTGAAATAGGAAGCATATTAATAAAAAAATGTGTAGTTTGGGGGGGAAATCAGGTCTTTCAGTATTACCAAAGTGAGACATCTTTGCTCAAATTCTGTGAAGAGTCCTATGTAAGTATTTGAGAAGATGCATGGATTTTCAGAGATGTCATCTTGGCCTGCTTTTTTCTTTCTTTTCTTTTTTTTTTTTTTCTGATGATGATATGCTTCCACAGAATGCCCATAAGCCTTCTCTTCTTATCTGAAGACACTTTTCGGGCACTGCTTATTTTCAACAACCTTTCTAAATTACTAAAATCATCTTCAACCCTAAATGTGCCAGGTCTTAAGCAACCTACCTGTATCCACTCTCTATAGGAATCTTCTCCAGGAGTCCATCCATTCTCAGGGTAATTCAGGCGGGAGCGCTCTGAAGACCAGTTGGTGCTATACTGGGAAGAAGCTGTGATTTGGTCAGAATGAATTTCTCCCGATTCCATGCCTAGAGCTTCCATACATTTAAAATCTGAAAGGAGAAAAAAAAAGTCTCAAAGTCATCAAAACATAAGGCACTTATATTTCTTCTTTTTTTTTTTTAATCAGACATACTAAAAATGTCATATCGTGTTCAAAGTTTTACAAAAGATGACAGTAAAAATCTTATTGGAAAGTAGGATTCATACATGCATTTTGTGGCAATAATTTTTGTTTCTGTTTTGATTGCCCATTTATTTTGTTTTATAGATTCTACATATAAGTGGAGTCATATGGTGTTTGTCTTTCTCTGTCTGACTTATTTCACTTTAGTATAATACCTTCTAGGTCCATCCATTTTGTCACCAATGGCTAGATTTCATTCTTGTTATATCTATATCTATATCCATATCTATATCTATCTATATCTATCTATATTTATATGAAATCTCACATGTTCTCTGATTTATCTATTAATGGACACTCAGGTTCATGGAAATAATTTTTTTTAATTCTCTTCTGAAGATATATTCCTATTAATTTTTTTTAGTGAGAGTAAAGGAGAGAGAGAGAGAGAGAGAGAGAGAGAGAGAGAGAGAGAGAGAGAGAGAATATCATCGATGTGAGAGAGAAGAGAGAGAAACATAGATTGGTTGCCTCCTATATGCACCATGTCTGGGAATCAAAACCAAAATCTAGGTATGTGGCCTGACCCAGAATCAAACCTGTAAGCTTTTGGTGTATGGGATGACAGTCCAATCAACTGAGCCACCCAGCCAGGCCATGGTAATAATCATAAAACAAAGCTACGATGACCTCATAATGATTAAGTATTTTCCCAACTGGACCTAGGTTAACAGGAATACTATTAGAAATGGCTAGGAAATTATGGAAATTCTAATTTCTTTTCAAAGTTGAATGTATGTAAACATGTCACATAGGCACATTCCAAAAATTTTGTTTCAATACAATTTTACTATTGAATTACTTCTTATAGTATTTAGTAAAGGTGAAAAAGACTATGTCAATTTATAATCCATAATCAGTGGACACTAGACTTTAACTCTTGCCTTTCAGAATCCTTGCAATTGGCACCCAAGCCACAGTTCTGAGTCTTTTAGTTCTCATGCTGCCTGCTGCTGGCCTAGTCTTGATTATTAACATAACCAGTTTATTTTATGAAAACACAAAAGTATTTGACAGGAGTAAAATGCAGTATCATATGATCCCAAAGAGCTCAACAGTTTAAGAGTTTTAGAGCATAAAAATAATGTGTTCCATTAGGTCTCATATACTCAGTGAAAAAATAAAATATGAAATTGATATGACATAATATTGGAAAATGAATAATAAATTTTAAGAAAATGTGAATCTAAGCTACTAAAGTAAAAGAGTTTTAAAAATGAACTATCCAGAAAATCTCAACTAACCAAAATTTCACATTTTTTCAATTTTCTGTTACAATAGATAAGGTTTTAAAGTATTAAAGGTTTTCATTCATTGGTTTTATACCTTTAAGTTTAGGCTTGTTATTTGTAATATAAAAGTATTTATAGCACAAAAAATACATGGATTAATTAATCAAATAAAACTTTTGAAGTTTAATTGGCCTTTTATTTTCCAGTAAGATCTGGTAGAAAAAGTCTCCAAACACCCAGTCTTCTCAGTATCCAACTTTACAACCTAAAGCTAGAACTGATGAAACAATTTTTCATTGTCCTTCAGGGTTTCTCTCCCCCGCCATCTCCCAAACTGTGCTCTTAAAAGCTGAAGAACACATAAACTTTGAGGAAGGACAGAGTTAATTGAGTATTTTAATAAGATATAAACAGATATTCCTTTTTCTTTCTTTCATGCAAAGTTGTAACAAATTACATGCTGCTTTTACATGAATATCCACTTTCATTCACATAAGAAAGAAAATAAGGGTTTCCACAGACCAAACCATGACACACCATCCATTCTATATAGCTTCCCTGTCAATGAACTTCACAGATTTGTCCATAATGCATGCTTGTCCTTTTAGGAATCTCAGCCCAATACGTATTTGAAGGTGCCAGGTAGGTGGCCTGGCATATTTCATTGTTTGAAAGCACTGTTTTTCCATTTCCCACTTTCTCCCATAATTTCAAAGGCTTATAAGCAACCATCTCATGTATAATTTTATTAAGAAAACACACCAGATAATTCTTCCTATTGATATTCAGAAAACCCATTTAAAAGAGAAAAATAAACACTTGGCAATCCAATACACGAAACATTTTCTCAATGTTTTTTGCTACCCCTGGTATGTGAGGAGGAATAACAAGGAGAATTTCCCACAGGCTTTTCAAGGTGAATGAACACTGACCTTCCGAGAGGCTGCTCTGCAGGATGCTGTAGTTTGCTGAGAAGCCTTCTTTGGCTATCGCACTGTCAGTATAAAAGACCATTGATAGAATGCCAGATGAGGAACGAACTCGACCTGGTGTTTTCTGTCCACAGTAACGTCCAATGTGAGGGCCCACTGGAAAGGGAGCAATGCAGAAAACATTAAAATATATTTTTTCTAAAGCAAGAAACCCCATTTGCAAACATGGGTTCCAGTGGAACCCAGTGTTTTCCTACACAAAGCATCTTCCCTGGCTAATTGCTTTGCACTGGATATCCGATCAGGTTTGTGGAGAGAATTTCCAAGTGTACTCAGGAAGGGCGGTAACAGATATCACCGCATTCCTGGGAAGCAAGTTGTGTTCAGTAACAGAATCAAAATGCTTTCTTCACTTTCAAAGAATGAGATTTGGGCTGTTAAGTGGAACCTTGGAATTCATCTCCAGGACCAATTCAGTGCTGTGGAGAACAAGGTCTCTTTGAGTTGTCTGTCCTCACTGCCCTGCCCTGGTAGGAGATCCTAGGGAAGGCCTGTGTCCTGGGGTCCTGTCTGGAACCAGGGCAATACCCAAGGTATGACCCAATACTGCGTAACCCTGATTTCCTTCCTCATCCCATATTTTAATCCTGGAGCCTCATTATGACGAATATCACTGCCTTGTTAAAGGATCCTGTCTGACTCAGAACTTAATCTGAAGACTAATTTACAATTGTGACAATTTAAAAATTTGAAACTGTAAGTCCAATAATTTATACATGATAGTAAGTTAAAATCAAAATGAAAGGAAAATATATCTTTCTGACTTCTGTCCTAGTTTTTTCTCTCTTGTACCTGAGAGGGGTGACTGCATTACGCTGGTGTCCAGCGGCCAAGAGCTGGTTCCAGCAGCCATTTGACTGTGTTCACCAGGAAGAAAGTAATTCCTGAGGCAGTGAAAGTTTGGGAATTTTGACTGATTTGTGATAAAGTTAAATTGCTATTTGGCTTACACTGGCCACACCTTTGTTGAAGTGCTTTTAGACAAATCTTGGCAATTACTAATTATAAATTGCCTTATGGATGGTGCACAGCCATCTGGGTTTGGAGAATCTTTCCATTTCCCTGTCCAGATCAATAGCAAGACACACACACACACACACACAGACACCAAAAAACAAAACAAAACAAAACAAAAAAACAGTCCCATTTTCTCTAGTTTTTTTTCTTTGCAACATATGGTAAAAACATACCAGATGGTTTGGACTTAGAAAGACAATCTGATGTGGACCATTTTACCCTCCAAGAAACCCATGGTTCTGTGCATCTCAACTAAAAGTTATTGCTTTGTTCACGAAGACACAGTAGGTGAACCTATCCCTGGCAGGATGGACCTGCAACAGGGAGGCAGTGTTCCAAGGCCTGTGCGTGCAGCTTGGATACAGAAGGCTGTGGACTGGGGCTCACAGAAACTCCAAAGTAATTGAAAAAGTGAACCCCACAGAAGTGATCAGCCTGGAGTCCCACATATCACCTGAGTTACTAGGTTGGCAACTAATCTGAGAACCCTTCTTTTTAGAGTGTTCAGATTTTTGGCTAACAGGTTTTTAGTTCTTAGCCAATCCTTTTGAAAAGAGAAAAACACAAAGGAAAAAAAAAAAACCTAACCCCACATAGTTTATAGATCTGAGTTAGTACAAAACGGTTACTTTGAATATCTGAGAACTTCCTCATGCATTCAAACCAATTGATTTGACAGAATTCAAAAGGAACAGACTAATATACTAATAGCTGTCAGAGGGGAGATGGTGGAGGGCTGGGTGAGAAGGGTGAAGGGAATAAAGAGAAAAAAAGAAAGACTCACGTGGACATAGACAACAGTATGATGATTTCCAGAGGGAAGGGGAGTGGGGGATGTAGATGAGAGTAAAGAGAGGATAAATGGTGATGGACGGAGACTTAACTTGGGGTGGTAAACACACAATATAATATACAGAAGATGTATTGTAGAATTGTATGCCTGAAACTTGTATAATTTTATTAACCAATGTCATCCCAATAAGTTCAATAAAGAATACACCAAGAGTTTCTGTCTATTGTAACCCCTCACTCTTCAGCAACCAAATGTTGTGTATATTTACATTGATAAAGATTATCTAGAGTGCATCACATGGTCATGGGTGGTGGCTTTGCATTATGGGAAGAACATTTTGTTACATTCCGACTTGGCAGAAAAGAGCATCTCAGAAGATGAAACTTTTGCTGTTTTTATTTGTTTGTTTTTCCAGTTTTGATTCTGGCCTTGATTCTTCTATAAGTGCTAGTATTTTGCCAGATTTTCCTCATTCCGAATGTGGCCTTACCAAAATCCAATACTTTTTTCCTTCAGTATGGAGTGTAAAGTTGCCCATAACATATGCAGGAAAATATCTAGCTAGAGTATAAACTCAAGTATTTTCTTTCCTCAAAAGGAATCCCATTTCTGGCCTTCAATCTTAATGGGAGACTTAGAGTACATTCATCCTCCCTCATTAAAATTCCATTATTGGGGCTTCATAACTTTCTTTTTCTTTAGTTTGTGGGCAAACTTTTACAGCCCTAGTCGTTGGGGTCCTTCTCTGATCACCATAGCCACTGACCTTAGCAAGAATATAGGGCACAAGGGAAGTTGGAGTCACCCCCTTCAGCTCTGGTTGCTGATCCTCCCCCACCACTGTTACCCAGTTCCTCTGGAGTGGGTGGGGGTAGGGGGAGTTTTTTTGAAGGAGCAAACAGAAGAGAACTTGTCTATTGCAGACTCATAATTTAGAGTCTCCATGACTCACTGGTTTATAATGTGTATGACATGCTGTGTAAATCTGCCTTCTGTCCTTTAGAACATTGCCCCAGACAGCAGCATGCAACTCTCTACAGGAGCCCTCAAGATATGAGAGTGAAAGGCTTTTTAGACTATAATACAAAGAAGTATTGAATTTTCCTGAACAGCAAGACCTTAGCCTAGCAAGCTAATGCAATATTGATCTGATGAAGAGTGGGTGTAGTACTCTTGTCAATCCCAGGTTTGTGCATTTACATGAACACAGAGACTAGTTTTCCTTCTTCCATTCTTTTGAACCCAAGGCCAAGGAGAAGAAAATTGTCACAAAAAATAGAAGTATCATTCAAAAATTGAATTGTTGAAGAATTTAAGCAAGCGACATAGACTAAGCTATCTATTGAGGAAGAACAGGACTACATTGATATCTTCTCAGATGGAAAGCCCATGTAGTACTGTGTGGTTTAAAAGATATACCTGGAACTGGGAATGGCATTAATCTCTCCAATAATTACCACCCTACTTCAGAGTCAGACACTTTGATTTTCTCCCACCTTTTTACATAAAAAGGGGGGGGGCAATGATCTAATCTAAAGAGATCATTTTAAAATAAGGTATTTTGAATGAATGAATGAATAAATAAATAAATAAATAAATAAAGGAATCATTTCAGAAAGGTGCAAGATAGGCAATGTATATTAGTCTTGCAATAATTAACTTTTTTTAGTGGAGAATATCTGGACTTTGCAACTTTTCCCCAGAAAAACCCTTGCATACTTATGTCATTTATATTTTGGAATATTTATATTTATGTGATTTATATTTTATATTTGTAGTTTAAAAGGTTAATTTTAATATAACAGTAATTTTTAAAAAAACAGAACTCTAGCTTTTATGAAAGGTATTTCTAAAATCAATAATGCTTAGGATATAGGTAACTAAGGTAGTCCCAGCTTCTTCTCCCAGCCCAGAAGGGGGCTGACTTCATCTGCATCCGTGAGGCGTGAGCTAAGCATTCATAGTCGGCTCCATGATTCAGCACAAGCATTTGTGGCATCAACCAGACAGCATGCTTAGCTCACGATTCTCAAACTGTATGTTTAAACTTCCTCAATTACTTCAGAGTTGCTACTTGTGAATCCACAGAGCTTCAGAGAGCATGATAGAGATATGTGGTTCATAACATGCATGCCTCAGATTTCCAGTTTTGGAATGAACTGTTTTTCTTCAAAGTCTATTTGAATCAATGGGTAGCTTTGAATTACTTAGTCATCTAATTTAATGTTTGGGATAAAATGCAACACAAAATCACTTGGTGGTTAAAAGCCTTCATCGCCTTCTGGTTGTTGTTTTTGGAAAGAATATCAAAGACTAAAAGCAATTTTGCTGGCAGAGAAACTGTATGCATTGAACTACTATGAAAAAATGTTTCTAGTGCCACTGACAGAAACTCAGGCGCATGCAGTTCTCTCATTTTGGCTAAGAGAATTAGCTACTATGTTGGAGTAGGATGGACAAGGCCAGGTAAACATTAACAAATATACAAACACATTTTTGTTCATCCCAAAGTTAGTTTTCTCTGGGATCAAGTAAAATTCACCATAGTTCAGAACATGGGTGAATTGCAAGGCTAACAATTGTTCTTCACTTCAACTCAGTGATTTTCCAAAGCCAGAAAATTACTACTTTGAAAAACCCTTGACACTAATAACAATGTGCTTCTTTCTGAAAGTATTCTAAATAAGGTGGTTGATTGGATCTCTTTTTCAGATGTTAATTTAAATGTAAGTTCTAGAAAGGAAGGCTGCAAATTTGGGTTGTGAACAAAAAAACCTGTTATTAAATGTTCCAACTATTATTACAATGCTATTATAATATTGTTTTCCTAATTATTGGATTAAATACTTGGAAATCAATTAGTACTCTGTTTGGCAAAATCTCATTAGTTAATGAAAGAGTTTCCTTAAGATCATCATAACCCTATTAATATGGCAAAAGACTAAAGAAGCAGCTAAATTAATATTAACTTATACATGTAGTCCAATGACAATATAAGCTTTCTTTAAACCCAGTTCTTCTCCTTTACTGCTAAGAACGGGAATATATCTAAATTAAATCACACTGATAATTTTAATATCATTTCAAAGACAAAGGCAATTTCTTTTACATCATACTTGCTCTCCATCTATAATTTATTTAAATACTGTTTCCTTCAAATTAATAATCTATACTAATAAAAGCCCTTGCGCCCTCATGTCATCACAAGATGGCAGCCAAAAGATGGCCTGCAGGGAATGACAGTTGAGAGTGACCAGGCCTGCAGGGGATGGCAGTTGGGGTCCATCAAGCCGGCAGGGGAGGACAGTTGGGGGAAACCAGGCCAGTAGAGGGGCAGTTAAGGGATGATCGGGCTGGCAGGAAGAAGTGGTTAGGGACATCAGACAGACAGGCAGACAGGTGAGAGGTTAGAAGCCAACAGTCCGGGATTGTGAGTGGGATGTCCGACTGACAGTTTAGGGCCAATCTCGAGATTGGGCCTAAACCAGCTGTCGGACATCCCCCAAGGGATCCCAGATAGGAGAGGGAGCAGGCTGGGCTGCCCAGTGCACGAATTTCATGCACCAGGCCAAGTTCTGTCTAAATTAGAAATGTCCAAATATTCTCATTCCTCTTCTAAAATTTTCAGTAGCATAATGGATGCTTATTTCACTCCTAAACTTTTACTAAGTACTTAAACTTCTCTTAGGCTCAGCATTGGTAAAATTAATGGTTTGATTTAATTTATCTCTTAAGATCTTTTCCTCTGACAGTCTATGAATTAATGACCAGTAGACAGGTCAATAAAATGAACAAAATACTTTAGTCAGGAAAACTATGTATTGGTTTTTAATTCTATCACAAAAAAAAGGTATGAGGTCTTGCATGATCATTCAGAGTCTCAGTTTCCTTGTCTACAAGGAAAATGAAGGAATTAAACTAATTACTAAAGCTGTTTGAGCTCAAAGCTGCTCTGCATAGAATTATTGATTTCCTTCCTCCTTCTGAACTATTTTTTAAAAATGATGCAGTATCATGACATGTGTGAAAGGATCCCATTGGCCATCCCTCAGCTCTTTCCCTTTTGGGGATTCTTCTTGCCCTTCTTACCATCAGGGAATCCATCCCAGATTTCTAGCCGGTCATAGCGACAGAACATGCCTCCAGGAGCATTTGAGTCAAGCTCTAGGTCAAAGCTTTCAAATTCCAGGATAATCTCTGACATCTTTGGTGCGAAGATAATATAAGTACATTCAAGGCTGTTGGGATATTTTTCAGGGAATCCAGGGGATTTTATCACTCCACTAGGGCTTGTGTAGTTCTGGGAACATTCAGGACCTATGAACAAAAGGGAAAAAGAAGCAAGGTGAAAATCCCTGTAAATGACTTCAGTAAGAAATAACCTGGGCAACGACCACATATCTTTCTAATAAAAGCTGATCATTGCAATCACTGTCCAAATCACTCAGCCTTTTCATAGTACTACTAGCTATGAAAAGTCAAGTTCAGATTTATTGTGTTCACCTTAGTTTTCCATTTGTGTGGAGCAATTAAAAAACTTCTGCTGTTTAGAGAGAGAAAAATGACAAATATAAAATCATGTGGGAACAATGAATGAGTAAGCTACAAAAATCTCTTGACAGAGCCCTAGAGAAATAATTATAGCTTCTTCAAGCTTAAATCCTTAAATCTTGAGAGTGACAGCCTTTATTGGTGAAATGGAACATTTACAAAGGCGAGAGGGAGAATTCAATGGAGAGAGTTTGGGTTTCAGATTCCTTCACCAGTGACTCAGTAACTTTGCCAGATGTGACCTCTACCTTTTTGACAAACTAAATGTGAAAGGTAATTCGTACATGTACCCAGGGTGAGTGACTCATTCTAGCGGTGTTGACACAGGTGTGCTGGTAAAGTGTGGCTGCTAGTGAGGGCCTCATTACTGTGATTACAGGCCCTGCTGCTAGTATCAGAGACAGTACTGTCTGCCATTCTAAAATTATTTGTATATATATATATATATATATATATATATATATATATACACACACAAATAATATGTGTGTGTGTGTTTTAGAGTGTAATGTATATATTTTTAATGTGTGATTATAAGGACTATTCATTTGATCAATAATACTTTACAAATTATGGTGATTTGTAATTTAAATTGACCAAGCATATTCAGACATGTATTAAGCTGACCTCATGACTATACAAACGACACAATTTCAATTCATGACATCCAGTACTAAATAGGGTAGTCTAAAAAATGTATACACATACTTTGAATAATTATAAAGGCAGTGTTCACTAAAATACATTTCATTTTCAAACTTGAACTATCAGTTGTTAAGGTGTGTATACATTTTGGGAGATTATGATATTGGAATCCTTTAGAATTTTATTTCCAAGACTAGCTGTACCCGGCCATGAGTCGCTGTGGCTCAGTGTGATTAAATGGAAAAGGAAGAAAAGAGAAAGCACACGTTTCTAATATGTTTAATTTCACAATGCTTATGGGTATACAATATTTTTTGTTGTTCCATTGCTTGTGCAGATATAGAGATTGTCTGGTTTGCCGAGTCTAGAACCTGCAACATATAATTGTCCATGTGAGAAGCAATCGGTGTCTAGATCTGAACCACACAATTCTAAAGATTGGCCCTGAGCTTTGTTGATGGTGATTGCAAACGCCAATGGAATTGGGAATTGCAATCTCTTAAATTGAAATGGCATATCCGTTGAAATCATAGGAATGCGAAGAATGAGGACATCTTCACCTTTGAAAGGTCCTGTCAAGATTGTAGCTTCTACAATGCTCATTAATTTATTTACTGCAAGTTGCGTGCCGTTACAAAGCTTTTCCTGGCTAATATTTCGCAACATGATAATTGGCACGCCGATGTTCAATTGCAGTATGTGCAGTGGCATCCCTGGCAGATCGAGTGAATTAAAAAATTCTGTTGGATAATTAACTGCTTCATCTGCTTCCGCAACAATGTTGACGGACTTGTATGTAATTGTCTAGTTTTGAATGTTAGACTGAATAATATTGTGAAGTTTGTAGACATCTTTGTTCTTGGCCACAAGAATAGCTCGATCACTCAGCTAATCAAGATTCTTACAATTGGTTTGAATATTGGGAAATACTTTTTCAACCAATTCTTCTTTTGATGCCACTAAATTGCAGAAGCTATGAGGCAATGAAATTCGTCCTAATGTCAGAACAACTGGCACCTTTACGTTCCCAATTTCCAGCAATTGATGTGAGAACATCTCAGCCGATCTATCATTTTTCAGCTGGACACAAATATTTGTAGTTAATTTTAACGTCTTTACGTGTTGCCACAAAGTAGAGTATTTCAGGCAAGCATTTATTTGTCTGCTGGTGTTGATAGAGGAATTACAGGTAAAGTTTGCCTGAAATCTTCAAGCAATATTAATGTATTCCCAAATGGTCTCATGTTTCCATGCAAATCTAGCAAAGATCTATCAAGAGTCTGAAGTGATTTTTTGTGTGCCATTGTGCATTCATCCCAAACAATAAGTTTACATTTCTGCAATACTTTTGCCATGCTGGACACTTTGAAAATGTTGCACGTGGGAGTTTCAATGAATTGCATGTTCAATGGCAATTTCAAACTGGAATGAGCAGTTCTTCCACCTGGTAGCAATGTCACAGATATTCCAGATGATGCAAGAGCTAAGGCTATGTCATTGTGGGATCGAATTACTTCCAGAATCAATCTAATTAGGAACATTTTACCAGTTCCTCCTGTAGCATCTAAAAGAAGATTTCTCCAACCCCGTTATTGACAGTTTGCATTATTTCATCAAAAATGCCTTTTTGCTCAAGCGTTAACTTAGGAATATTTGATTGCACATATGACAAAAGATTACCCATGTTGTAATTTTGTTCATGACACAATTCTACATTGAAAGAAAAAACAGCAGATTGATTCAGTGATGGCATTCCCAATTGATTGAGAACTTCGTTCACGATTTCTAAGCACAATTTTTCAATCATTATCAACATTGAAATGGAATCTTAAAATTGGAAATTTGGAAATCGTAAATGGATCATAAATTGGAAACATTGAAATGGAATCCTAAAATATTTAGTATAATGTGTATTGCTTTTATGTCTAACAGATGGCGCTATTTTTTTTTAAAAGCATGTTTTTACTTGTCACAGGTGTGACATCTATATAATAGTAGGTATAAGGTATATAAAAAGATGCACATATTTGAATGCAACATTGTGTGAAAACTTCAAAGCAATTGGTGAAGAATTTTCAGAGATTTAAGATTTTGAACAAATGAACATTTATATTTTTATTTATATAGATGTAGGAACAGTGACCCTGGAGACCTCCAACTTCCTCCCTGGGGCAGAAAATATTTTGGCTAGTTCCTTGTAAGGCAAAGCAAAAGCAGGATTTACTGCCGGTACTGATATTTCTTAGATAAAACTATCCAAGTGAGATTAAGATTAGTGAGATAGAAAAAAAATGACAGAAATAAGGGTATACATTAAAATCAAATATATTTCAGTGCTTTCACAGTGTCCTTGTCCTGTCAGATACCTTTGGAAGCTAGCTCAGGTTTTCTAAAGTATTTGACAAAAGCTGGGAAAATTCCATGTGATGATGGAAGAGAACTTGACTGAGCACCAGAAGGTCTGAGTTTCAGTCCTGCCTTTACCACAAACCTGCCTTATAGCCTCAGTGACCTTCTAACTTTTCTGATCCTCAGAATCTGTGCATAGCAAATGGGAGGTAGACTTTGGGATTAAAAAAATAAAATCTTTTTAAACTTAAAAGGTTCTATAATTTCCTACTTCCTCCACCATACATATTTGTTTTAATATTTTCCTTATTCAAAATTGCATAAATTTGCCACAGTTGAACAAGTACATCCCCAGAAAGAAGGTGGCAGGAGTGTGTTAAGGAATTCTGAGATGAGTATACAAGCAAGAAACAGGAGAGAGGGCAAGCAGCCCCCTATGTCTAGGAGCAAATGAGCTGCTGATACAAGGTGCATGCCCAGCAATGGAGCCAGTGAGCACCATACTACTGACATTATCTGTAAAATGGAGAGTACTCTGTGTAGCTATAAGAGTGACCTTTCATTGTTAATGGCAATAAAAATGGATAATAATATAGCTAAGATACTGTCTTTGGGATAATTATTGAATAATAGAAGCCCAGTGCATGAAAATTGTGCATGGGGATGTGTGTCCCTTAGCCCAGCCAGCATCATCTCCAATTTGGGACCCCTCAAGGGATATCAGACTGTCTGTTTAGGCCCAATCTGGAGGGGTTGGGCCTAAACGGGCAGTTGAAAATCCCTCTCACAATCCAGGACTGCTGGCTCCAATGGCTTGCTTACCTGCCTGCCGGATTGCCTCTTAACCATTTCTGCCTGCCAGCCTGATCACCCCCTAAACACTCCCCTGCCAGCCTGATTGCCCCTAATTGCCTTCCCCTGCCAGCCTGGTCAACCTTAACTGTTCTCCCATGCAGGCCTGGTTAACTCCAGTTGACCTTCTCTCCTGGTCACTCCTAACTGCTCTGCCTTACCAGCCTGGTCACCCCTAACTGCCCTCCCCTGCAGGCCTGGATCCCCAACTGCCCTCTCCTGCAGGCTGGGACCCCCAACTGCCGTCCCCCACAGGTCTGAACCCCCCCAACTGCCCTCCCCTGCAGGCCTGGACCCCCCAACTGCCCACCCCTGCAGGCCATCTTGTGGTGACCATCTTATGTCCACATGGGGACAGCCATCTTGTGTGTTGAAGTGATGGTCAATTTGTATATTACCTCTTTATTACATAGGATATAAACTTTTAAAATATATATATTTTATTGATTTTTTTACAGAGAGGAAGAGAGAGGGATAGAGAGTTAGAAACAAGGATGAGAGAGAATCATCGATCAATTGCCTCCTGCACACCCCCTACTGGGGATGTGCCCGCAACCAAGGGACATGCCCTTGAACGGAATTGAACCCGGGACCCTTCAGTCCACAACCGACGTTCTATCCACTGAGCCAAACCAGTTTTGGCAGGATATAAACTTTTAATCAAATAACTTACACAGTGACCCATCCTCTTAGTAAATGCACCCCTCTTCTGCACTGAGACTCATAGAAAACGACTACAGTTTTTTCCCTGCTTTGGGCCTGGATGACCCAAGCCAAGGGAAGGAAGGGAAGAATGATAGTGGGTTGGCTTGGATTTCCCAGAGAAACTTTTTTAGGTGAGTGAGAATAATTTTAGGGCTGGTAGCTGAAGGTTTCAGCACCTGGTAAGAGGTATAGAAGGGAAGTGTGGGGTGCCTAGAGAGAGAAATTGGGTTCCAGGATGGTTCTAGGAGGCATAGTGAGGGGACAATGTCTTCTTTGCATTGTTTAGTAATAACAATGTATTATAGTTGGAAAATGAAACATGCATGCATGAAAAAATTTGAAAATATTCTTTTTAGAAATTTGAAAATATTAAGAAATATTGGTAAGTGAAACATTTGTGTGTATGAATACATTATGTACATATGTGTATGTATTTATATATAGGAGATAAGTTGGGTATATGTTTAGGAAATAAAGTAGGTTAATTAGGAAGAGCTTCCTGAGAAAAATTCATTTAGACAGAGTTAGCTGCTTATATAAGTTAAGGGACATAAGCCAAAGAGAGTGAGGACTATGAAACTTGAAGGCACCAGGTTAATCCGTAATCATTGCAACAATGAGTTCTTATTGGCCATATCTTCAGTGCCGGCAGTGGCTGCATGTTTTCCATTTCAACTGGTCTTTACAATAAGCTTGTGCTAGATACTTTTATCCAGTTTTCAGATGAGAAATGGGAGGCTCTGAACATTCAGACAGTAAGTAGCAGAATTAAACTTCACACTCAGGTCTGTTGGGATTTACCCAGTGCACTAACTTGAGGCAGAAAGCCAGTTTGTGATCTGTGAGAGTAGGAGCTAGAGAAGGTCCTGAACAAGTGATGTTAAGCTATGCACTCAACTTAATAGGACAATGAGGCTTGACTGTGGTCGATGACTGTTTGAGAAGCTGCATGTAGAATAAGAAAGGGTGGGGAGAACCACAGATTGGGCCTGTTTAGTTAATGGCAATGGACATGGAAAGGAAGTGTGACTGACATATTCGGGTAAAAATTCCAAAGAACTAGAAGCCATATGGGATGTAGGAAGACAAGAAGAAAAAATAAAATAAGGCTTCCAGTTTTAAGGTCAGTGCTGAAGAGCAGGGCAGGACAATTATGGTACACCTGAGACTAAGAGAGTGAAGGGAATATAATTATTTTGGAAGAAGATGAATAATTCTTAATGACATAATAGATCTCTCTCTTTCCTCTTTCAACCATTTTCAGAACTTTGAGAAACGCTGAAATGGCTGTTCTCAGACCCTTAACAAAGGTACCAACAGGTACCTTTTTCTTTGATAGTGCCATATGCAGGTAGAGCAAATATAGATATGTGTGTGTACTTACGTGTACAAAATGATTTAACACATCAAACAGCTTTCAGCACAAGAAATATGTACATATGTAATCATCTGTACATACTGATGTCATATTCATACTAAAGAATTTGCAGGCATATACTTAAATAAATGCCTGAATTTCTCTTTGTCTATCCACATTTCTATAGGGCAGTGTAGATTTCTTTGAAAATTTAAGAAGTTGTATCAATGTTCCCAGAAACTCCTAATGACTCCTTCCCACTATTCTCAGTTGTTCCTGACCCAGAAGACCTTCGGCATTTTCCATTGCTATGGCTAGATTTGTTCTATTTTAAAAGGTTCTTTTGTCTATAGTCTAGGACAATATATTCAAATCATGAGCCTCTGCCCCCAAATAGGACCACCACACTTTAATTTCAAGGGAATAACTAAATATAATAAATATGAATTTAATGCATTAAAGGATGCTATAGTCTGTTGGAAAAAAAAAACAGTGTTATGTAGATAAAGCTATATTATTTATAAATTCACTGATATGTGTCTTTAATTCTTCAGGTTGGGAGACCTGATTTATCAGATTCTAGCTCATCTCAATATATACCATTATAATAGAAGATTAGCAAGTAATTATATTGGACGTGCAATCCCTAAGGGGAATGCCATTGAAAGTATTACTGCTTCATTTTTTTCAAGAGTTCTTTCCCCAACAGTCCCCCATTAATAAAACCCCCAATAGCTTTAGACACTCTAAGGATAGTGGACTGTTTGCTTTTCCTGTGAACCACTAGGTTTAAATTTTAGAATAAAATAAAGGGAACAGTATATACATGACTTTACTAGTAAGACAATAGGACTGCATTTTTAATGGGGGAAAATTTAAACTTCAACAGTAGATAAAACTTATATTTTAAGAAGAAATGACCTTAAACAAGTTTAATGGAGATTATGCCTTATAAACGGTGGTTAACACATTAGAATCATGCAATTTTTATTTCTGAAGCATTTAAAAAATTTTTAAATATACTTCCTCCATATAGTGGATACTTTTCCTTAGTTTAAATTATTTCTAACATTTCTGTAATGAGAATACATGATTTCTTTCAAAAGGATAATAGCATTTACTCCTTATCTTTCACTTTGTCTTTCACGAATCAAACAATGTTAAGCATTTAGTTGTATTCGTTTTACTCTACGTTACTCACCTCTCTTGAAAATTTCATAACGTATGGAAAATCCTGCACCATGTGTCTCATAGTCAGAGACAAATTTGATGAAAAGAAATGGCCCTGAAGACACTATGGGAGAAGGGGCAATCTTTCCACAGAACTTTCCCCATAAACGTCCATTTTCATTTTCTCCATCAATGACTTCCACATAGTCATACCTGACACAGAAACAAGGAAGGCCATTAGGTTAGCAAGAAATACCATTTTAATTTCAAAAAATTAGAAACCAGATAGTGTGTCGGGAAAAAAAGACTTATCTGCATTCAGCACTGTATTACAGGGAGGGGAGAATCTAGCAAAATGAAATAATTAAAATGGACTACATGAGGTCTGTATACCTCATCTGGCAATAGAAAACTATTAAAAATAATGGTGTCCATTATACTTGCAGATAATATAGTTAAAGTAACCAATTAACAAGAAAAAGAAATCTCATGAGCACTATTCTTTTTTATTAAATTGTGTTCCTTTGTCTCTGGTGGTGCAGTATCAATACATAATGCTATGCATTCTTTTCAAACTATGCAGTTCTTTTATGAATTCAAAATGTCTCCTTTGCTGGAGCTTTCCATGAACAATACTTTCTGTGAGCAACCCTCTAAACATATGGCCATAGAATAATAAACAGATTCTTTACTGTTTAACCCAATTCCAGAAAATGCCAGACTTCTTAGGAAAACTCTGGTTCAAACACAGATCATCTTCTTACAAAACTACACTTGAATTGCAGAATGTAATTTCTCCAAAGAAAAAATGTTTATTTAAAAATAGCAAGTAACTTTGTTTATACCCATAAGCCTGGATATTTAAAAGAATATTGTTGTTTTAAAAGGAAACATAACACATTTGGAAATACCAAAATGATGTGATGTTTAAAAATTCAGGCTTAATGATACACTAAGGAGACAAATGATAAAGGAAGTGGTAATAAAATATTATACTCTAAATATTGCATTAAGATAACAGATATACTTGGACATTCTTCTCTCTAAAGGTCTGGAAAAAAAAAAAAAAACTATCTCCAATAAACAATAGTCCCCAGGGAAACAGCAAGATTTTCATTTGTTTGGAATTTTATATTTCTTAGTGTCTTGCTCTTTCCTTTCTTATTATTTATTTACCAAGTCACCTAGAAAAGAGATAATCTGATTTATCTTCCTTTTTTTTTTTCTTCGAGAACTGACATGAAAACATTACAATCCTTTCATTTCAAACCTTTATTTCTGTGTTTAACTTGGTTCAAAAGTCTTGGGATATATTAATTTCAGTAATGGCTAAAATATGGCAGTAGCATAAATTGTATCTGGAAATTTAAAAGAGATCAAAGTGCGGGAAATCTTCATGATGTCCAATGCCATCTTTAACATCCCTTTCAAACTGTCTAGGACACATTACTTATGTTTATATAAAGTCTCAGGAGACAACTGCAAAGATAATATCACTAGTTAAAGAGGACAGTTGAATGCTCTCTAAATTAAAAATGACACTACTCATCAGTTATAGTTGTGAGGCAGTTTTGTGTTTGCTGAGAAGAAAATCAAGCTGACATTGATGGAACTAAACATTAGCATGTGAATTATTGCATTAACTGCATTTCCTCTGCTTCATCCCATGTACTCAGTAGCCATTACTGTCCTGCCTGCATCACTGTGCCTTTGAAAAACTAGGAAAATACCCAGAGGAAATGTTCCTTTCTCAATACTTTGAGAGATGCTGTGCATTTTAAAAGAAGATGTAAAAGGAGAAGTAAAAGTGGAGAATGAGGAGGAGGATGAAGAAAGCATCATGTTCAAAATCCTAACTAGCTTTATATTGTCAATGGGGGTAATGGGGGTAAGGGTGGGGGTACAGCTGGAAAGAATGGCAACTGAGCATTCAGCGAAACCTCACAAGTTGGCATTTATGTAGCAATTGCTTGTATCTCCACTGCTTCATTGACTAGACAGGTTTTGCCCACACTTGTGTATAACTGAACTGTGATTTGAACTGTTGATTGTGTTTGTCCTGGTGACTGTGCATCCATCTCTGCAATATAGGCTTTTTACTGGAAACCTGGCATGATTTGAATACTAAGTGGCTAAATCCTAGTGTATTTTGCCTTCAAGGCTCAAATAAGAAAGGTGGGTCAGGCTCTTGCAGAACTGAGGGCCTTGCTGTGAGAGCACCTTCCTGCCAGGTGTGAGAGGGCTTGCTAGCACAGCACCGAGATAGGGAATTGAACAGGAAAGAAGCTAGCACTTTAATTGACACATATATCTTCTAACAGGAAATAGGAGGCTCTCCTCTTGGCAACAGTAAAAGCTATTTTTAAAGGGGAGAGAGGGACTACAAACTCTTCCCACCAAGAGATGTCATTATTAAATGCCAATTTTAGGAAATTGAATTATTCATGGATACAATAGTTACATATATAAACTGGTCCAGTGCTCTCTTTTTAGCACTTCCTTTCAATGTACCATCCAACAGGGCTCCTAAGAACCGTATCACAAATAGCAGTTTATGTAACTATTCAGGAGGGTGTATTCGCACAAGTTGTAAAGGGCAGTGTTGCCAAAGAAGTTAGGAAAGCAGCTTGCCTCTCCCTCTGGAGTTAATACCAGTTCTATTCCATAAGTTTCTTGCTGACAAACGTGGTGCCAGGAATGCAGCTAGCGTGCCAAGATCCCTCTGAGACAGTGGTCGGCAAACTCATTAGTCAACGGAGCCAAATATCAATAGTACAACGATTGAAATTTCTTTTGAGAGCCACATTTTTTAAACTTAAACTTTTTCTAACGCCACTTGTTCAAAATAGACTCGCCCAGGCCATGGTATTTTGTGGAAGAGCCACATTCAAGGGGCCAAAAAGCTGCATGTGGCTAGTGAACCACAGTTTGCCTACCACTGCTCTGAGAGACTAAATGTGTCACCATAGCAACGCACCAAGTCTTCCTTGGCCTGAGGCCCATAATCCTGAGTTTGCAAATTTTACTCCTGTACTGAGGTTGATCCATCCCACCTTCCCCCACCTCCATCTCCCAGCCCCCCAACCTGGTCACAGCACACCCCTCTATTACTGCTGTCCCCTGGCAACCACTGCCTTTCTTGGAATGTCAAGCTCACCATTCGCAAAGGCAGAGACCTACAAAGATGAAAATGGAGACACTTTTCGGCCCCCCTCCAGCAGTTGGAATGGGAAGTGGAAACTATGTCTTGGGCAATTCCTAAGAGCTAGAGGAGGGCTTGGAAAATTGACTTGTCTCTTCCTTTGGGGCTCTGCTCCTAAAGAAGAATGCTCTAGGTGGCAAGGAAATCATATTTGTCTCAAGTGCATTACCCTCCCCACATCTCCAGCCCTTGCTGTCAGTGTAAGCATGGGTTCCAGCTAGCAAAGCCCTTCAGCAAGCCTCATCCTCCCCATTACTGGAATGTAAACACATGTGGATTTTTTAAAATATTCAGTCGCCTCTCCTCCTCTAGCCATCCTTCCATTTCATTTCTTAAACCTTCTACCTTAAAGCTTTTCTTTTCTGCACTAATAATTGTAAAGCAGACTATATTTACCAGGAAGAAATGAAAAGATCTCTCAATCTTTTTACAATGAATTAAAAGCCACTTTTCCATGTTCTCCGTCTCGAGGTGTGACACGCTGATGGTTTATCTCTGAGGTATCCCTAGCTTTAGAATACCAGCTCCTGAAGCTAAAGGCCTTGTTGCTTACATATCCCCCCATCCTCACCTTACTTGAGAGTGATGAAAACACTGCATCCTAAGTGTAACCATGAGTTAGGTTTCCCATAGGAATTATAAAGGAATAAAGATTTCCTTCTAAGAATTCTTGAAAGGATTATCCAGACTTATGTTTTCTTTTGGAAAGTTTAAATATGGCATTAGGAAAATGGCCTGATAGAAGGAAAAGTGATAGAAAATGAGAAATGTATTCAGTCAAGGCGGGTTTTCCGAGACTCTCCAGGTAGGCAGTGTTGAGCATACAAACATCACGCTTTACTGCAGTGGGAGTTTCTCTTCTGGGTGTCAGTGACCCTGGACTCTCCACAGTGCAGCCTGTTGGCAGGAAGAAAGCTCGTCCTCTGCAGGGTGTTGTCTGTGCAGTGTGCCAGGCCCCTCGCAGCTTCTGAGGGGCCTCAAATGCTTAGGAAGGGGATTTTAGGCGGTGGTGTCTCTTTAATCTCCTTCTAAGAGACTCTACCCCCATGTGCATATATACATTAATCATGCAGAAATTAGATCCCTGACATCATAAACCAGAGTGAGAAATAGTGTTGGCTAACATAATTTTCACCTGCAAAAAATGTGTTTCCTTAGATATTTGGTTTATTCTGCACAAGGCATTAATAGCTATCCTGATCGAACAATCTGTAAGGATTACTATGCTGCTGTCCAAGAATCACTTTACATATTCCCCAGAGAAGAACAGGTTTTCTCTCAGACCATTAGAAAGAGGATTTAGAAAGAAAGTCACGATGATGGAGCTAGGAGGAGCCAATTAGTTTACATCTGTGTTTTAGAGTGATTTTATATCAGATTCACCCCTAACAGTTCTGTTTTGCTTATGTTTTAAGCAAGATGTCATAGCCTCTTGTTCAGCTAAAGCATTTTTTAGAAATATATTCTAAGGAAATAATTCTAAGGAATAATGTCAAATATTTATGAAAAAAAACAACAACAACTATTGCTTGATGCTTTAATAATGGGGGAAATAGAAATAAGGCAAACAGGAAGGAAACAAGGAAAATTTATGTAAATTCAAATCATGGAATATTATTCAGCCATTGAAAAGCAGGCTCAATAAAAAATGTTTTATAAAAGGAAAAAATCATATGCTATCAGTGAAAAATCAGAACATAAAATGCTTATGTGCAGTATATTCTCAACTCATTCAGATGTAGAGAAAAAATTGAAAGGGAAAAGACTCAGCTGTTAGAAAGTGCTAATAAGCTTTTATTAATGAAATAATAAAATTTCAGGGTAATGAAATTATGTTCATCAGATATTTCTGAGTTTTTCAAAATTTTTATAATGGACAAGTGCTCCTTTCAAATTAGATAAAAGTTATTTGAAAAGCATTAACTACCTATATATAAAGTAGAAAATCAGCACCTATTGCCTAGTTAACAATTTTCTATTTCTTGGTCAAAAAACACTATCTTTTATGATT